AAAACGGACCCAGAAACTGCAGTAGATGTTCTCACACCATTATTGCAAAAGGTTTGTGATAGGATCCAGCATATTTTGGTATTGACTGTTTAATCTTGCATATATGGTATGTTATCATTCTCACACATTTTGGTATTTACTGTTAATCTTGTATATATGGTATATTATCATTCTCACACATTTTGGTATTGACTGCTAATCTTGTATATATGGTATATTATCATACCCACACATTTTGTTATTGACTGTCAATCTCGCACATATGGTATATTATCATCTCCCACGCACTTTGTTATTGGCTATTAAGATAAATTATTTCAAATGCTGTTAGCTGTCCATATTGTTGTAAAATGTATAAATACCATGGCTTTCTTTGTCGTTGTTGCACTTCAATACACAGTCACAGTCCAGCCTTTGTCTTTTGATATTTGCGTGCCTTACTAAATCGGAAGGTACGACAAGCAGATAGGCAGATTAGTTCAGGCGCAGACAGAGCAAGGTGAAAACGTCTTCATTCAATTCCCCACAGTTATAACAATTTGGAAGGAAGGAAAAGTGTCTGCCGATTGGAAGAAAGGCTACCTTTTCAAGCTACCAAAGAAGGGTGACTTATGTCTCACTCTGTAAGAAATGGCCTGGAGTAGTGCTCTTGTCTACGCCAAGTAAAATCCTAGAGAGAATAACTGACGCACTGAATGCAGGACTCCACCCGCCGGAACTGGCTGGATTCAGGAAAGGCAAATCATGTGCTGCTCAAATTGCAACTCTACGCATCATCATCGAACAAAGCGTAGAATGGCAGTCAAACCTCTACCTCAACTTCATCAACTTCCCAGAGGCCTTCGACAGCGTTGACCGAGAAGTAATTTAGAAACTACCTGAACAATATGGAGTGCCCCAAATCTTCGTCAACCTCATTCAACAGTTGGCTATGTGACAATGCCATGTGTCAGGTGATCCACAACGGAAAACTCAGCAAGGCGTTCGAAGTGAATACAGGAGTAAAACAAGGCTGCCTGTCTATTATCATCTATGCTATTCTTAGTTGTGGTGGACTGAATTATGCGTCAGACTGTTAGGAGCGAGGAGTCAGGAATACGCTGGACGACCGATAAGAAGACTCTAGAAGATCTGAATTTCGCAGATGATATATGCCATATGTCACACAAACTCGAAGACTTGCAAGCGAAAACCAACAAACTGGCTGAAGAGGCGAGCAGCGAAGACAGGACTCCAAGTGAACATGGAGAAGACGGAGGTGATGAAGATAACCAATCGACAACAACAACCAGTCACCATCAACGGGAGAGATTTAACAGAGGTTGCCTTCTTCACTTATCTGGGAAGCATCGTTTCAACCACAGGCGGAACAGACGAAGATGTCAAAGTCAGAATCGGAAAGGCAAGATACGCCTTCATCAACCTGAAACCAGTTTGGAAATCTTCTGCACTCAGCCAGCATCAAGAACAAGATTCGAATTTTCAACACAAATGTGGGGTCAGTTCTTCTATACGGGTCAAAAACTTGGCGTGTCACAAAAAAAAATTTCCGACAGGCCGCAGACTTTTATCAACAGCTGCCTTCGCTGGCTCCATACTGAAGATCAAATGGCCAGCCAGAAAGAATAAGCAACAAGAAACTATGGGGAAAAACCAACGAAGAGCCGATCGCTCAACAAATATGTCGGAGAAAATGGAGATTGATCGGGTATACATTGAGGAGGCCGCCGAATGACATCGCACGCCAGACCTTCGAGTGGAATCCCAATAGGAAGCGACGAGTGGGTCGTCCGAGGGTGACATGGATAAGATCGTGCGAGGAGGAGATGAGAGATTATGATCAATACTTCTAATTCTAATGGCCTCCGACATATGTAATAGACGACTACGGAAACTATCGGAAAGATTTGGTAAGATGAGAAGAATCATTTCGAAAGAGCTTTTTTCTCCTCTGAATGACCACTAAACATTAAATGTGGCGAAACGGAGCTTCTGATGGTTTTGTCTGTCCTTTACAAAACGACAATAGGAGATGTTCGGTAACATGTTATCTACGCTGTCTGATAGTGTGGTGAGAGCAGACTGCTAGCAAATTGGTAGACAGTAATTTACGTCGCTAATATTGGTCGTGAGGAAATATTAGCAAGACTGATTCCACAACCAATCACAGCCGACTTTGCGTAGGCAGATACAGTTAACATTATAGATGACCTGACATTCAAGAAACAGTCACAAAGAGATGCAAGGTCAACTTTCTGTGAGAAACAATCAATCAGAAGAGTTATATTAACTGATGACGTAACTGTAAAACACTGTGTGAATTATCAAAATAAAATCTTATCCATAATGGAGTTATACTCTACCACAGTGCCCAAGTTTTATACTTATATCAATCAGAAGAGTGTGTTTGTTTGCTTGAATAAGCTATAATAATGTACATGAAAATATATAAATACGTGTTGCACTGATTAAGGCACTCTACTCGTACTCATGCAGCCAGGTGATGGCTTACGGCGAGTTGTCATCTGAAATGGTGATAACCAATGGTGTCCGTCAAGGATGCCCATTATCCCCATTTCTATTCAACTTCATCATAGATGTACTAATGGACTTAACCCTAAGTCACTTCAGCGACTCAGGGATTGACTTCTTACCAGGGAATAATCTCGTTGACTTAGAATATGCAGACGATATAGTCCTTCTAGGCGAGGACGCTGACAAAATACAGAGTCTTCTAAACACCTTGAGTTACAATCCACGAATGTTTGGCATGCGATTCGCTCCCGCTAAATGTAAGATGATTTTACAGGACTGGACTACACTGACTCCTAGATTAGAAATAGGAAGAGAAGTGGCAGAGCACGTTGACCACTTCACTTACTTGGGAAGTATCATCAGCCCCAACGGGCTGATCGCTGACGAAATCTCCGCATGGATACAGAGGACTAGTTTCGCATATGCCAGTTTATGCCGTCTCTGGCGTAGACATGATATCCAACTATCGACCAAAGGGCGGGTGTACTGCTCATCAGTCCGCTCCGTCTTCATTTACGGCTGTGAGACCTAGCCATTGAGAGTGGAAGACATGGAAAGATTAGCTGTCTTCGATCATAGGTGCCTGCGCTCTATCTCCCGTGTCAAGTGGGTGAGCAATATTGAGGTTAGGCGTCGAGTGCTAGATAAGCAGGGGAAATCAATCGACAAAGTCGTGAAATTACATCGACTGAGATGGTTAGGACATGTGTTACGTATGCCTAGTCATCGCCTTCCTTGATGAGCAATGTTAGATGATATAGGGCCAGGCTGGAAAAGAGCTAGCGGAGGTCAAACAAAAACACCAGTCAATGAAATCTACAATAGTTAGTCTAAGCCACGTAGGAAGGTGTAGACTTCCTGGTTGGGGTCCTCGGGATGGTAAAAACCAATGGTTGGAAACAATTGGTGACATGGCTCAAAATCGTTCTCAATGGCGCAGATGCATCCACTCCTTGTGACTTATGATTTCCAATGAAACTGTTTTGTTCTTCGTTATTACTATTCCTTTGTCTCAAACCTCTGTTTACTGTCTCTATTATGCATTTCTTCCACTTTTTTCTTTCTTTGTGTGCTACATGAACTTGAACTGCCGCACATATGTGCAAAGTACCATGTCGAAAACAGACAGACAGACAGACTTAATAAACGATCTGTTGACTGACTCTTGCCTTCTGTTGTTACAACAGTACGCTGAACACAACTGTCTCTACGGGAGTTGAACTGTTATATTCATATAGAGGTGATAAAAATAGCTAGCTTATCCTTCATCAACTAGAAAATTACAAACACAAATTTTCAGGGTAGAGTGTTCTCTGTATTTTTTGGCTAGTCTCTGAGATAAAATTCATCTGACAAATCCCTACTAAATTGTAACTTAATTAATAATGATTTCTACCATGCTGTCGCTGACTCTGATTTCTTATTTAATTTGTTTATGTTTCTTCATGAAAATACTCGTGTAACCTACTTGAATAAATTAATCACAGATATATTCAAGCACATGTCACAAATGACCTTCCGTATATATCCTTTTTGCTCTACTGGTAACTACTAGCAACTGACTATCTTTCTACCTTAAAGTAGTAGTAGTTAAAACTCTCAAATATAAAAATGAAAATTTACTGTCAGTATATGCACATACATACACACCTTAAGAAAGGAAGATATGGATACTATATCATTCAACTCACAAAATAGAAACCAAAAGATGTATAATGTGCACGCAATTTATTTTTATGTGATGAGTCTGGATTATGTAACTAATCAGTCGAAGCACTCGACCTCCAGCTACTCAGGTACTTAACGCATTTCACTTACTAGACTTTCGACAGCATGGGAATGCAAACGGTTACTGAGTACCCCACACTATACGTGAAAGAATGATAAGTTTAAGTGTTTATTACTAATAATACTACTTTGATGGCAGTAGAGTCAAATGTATCGACAGAACACATTGGCATTTGTTAGCAGAATTGTTTGTCTAACAAGATAATAAAATAGTCTGATTTGTCTAACACTACTGTTGTATTTCCTATGTCTGACTTTGTGATTACTATATATTACTATATTACTAAGAATAACAAGGACAATAAGAGTTTCACATTCGAAGTTTAATTTGTACAAAAAGTATTCGTATTCTGCTTTTTTTATCGTTATTTCATGCCTCCTATACTACCTCATAGTTATTTTCATTTCTCCTCTTGCCCTTAGCAACTTATCACTCCACTATTCAAGAATTTTTTTTCAAAAACGGTACGAATATGCTACTCACAAACGGTAATCGGTAGTACACGCCACATCATCACCGTCACTACAACTATGGCCAGTTGAAAAGAAGTTTTAGTGAAAATTATAGCTATATGTTAACGAAGGGTTCATCCTCACATATCCTATTCTTTACACAATAAAAACTTAAAAAGAAATAGCAAAGAAAATTTAACAGCTTAGTTTCCTAGAAAACATACTTGCTTGTGTTTATTCCGTGGTGGCTTAAACGATTCTAATGTCTCCGGTGTATTTCCACCATTTGACTGATAAACATTTACACTGATCAATTCGAAATTAGGATTGCGAATATCATACATGAGTAGACTGCCTTCATAAGTTCCCACCAACAACTGATTTGTTGAGAACCAATTCAGTGTTCTAAATGAAAGATAAAAGTATGCATCAAATAGACCATTTATGTAAAACATGAAAGCCCAGAATAATTACAGTGAAATGAAGAGCCGGTTGACTTTCTACCAGGTTAGTTGGAATTTTATCTCGACCTAGATTTTCATTTTGACCGTCAGGTCAGGATAATAAAGTTACCCAACAACCGATTACAATGCTATGCAGTTGCCAGTTGGTCAGCCCTTGGTACGTGGAGCGGAGTTAGAACCTGTGGTTGGAAGTAAAGCGGCTACACTAATGAGTCACAGCCCATTTCATCTTCAATCACCATTCATTCATCATCACCATGAACATGTTAAAGTAAATATATCATGCAGCTCACACTACTGACTTATATGAATAATTGGATCAGCTTTATACTGACCAATTAATACTGATTAATATGTAGGTCTGAATAGCTGAACACCAGAAAACTGTTCCTCCTGTTCACAACCGACTCATAGTCTGTGCACCGAGTGTCTTGTGTGAGAGTGCTAAAATTCTTGAACTAACTGAATTCTGATCAGTTACTTGAGCCTTCGACTTAAGACAGGGTTATAAATACAGAACACAATTTGATGTGTATTCCTGTAGTAACTGCCTGACCGGTGTTGATCGAGCTCGTAACGTGGTGAGGTTTAGAAACGGGTACTACAAGTTATTCTGAGAGATAAATACTGTATGGTTGTTGGATACGACAAAATTCCATACAAGCAGTCTTCCATTTATTCTTTGAGTAATATCCATCTAAATCGTTTTAACACTTGAAGAGATGAAGGACATCTTAGATATTGGTGAACTTCTTTTTTCTGTTCTTTGAGCTCCAGGTGGAAATCAAGAGCATTAAGCTTCAGCTGTGAAGTTTCAGTAGTGGTGGTACATTTTTACGGAATGAGCTCGCTAGCCTAGCACACCTAATTTTCCCTCTTTACCGGGTTTATTATTGGCTAGACGAGGTTTACGAGGGTGTCCGCCGGACCAGTTCCGATGTGGTCGGTAAGCATTGCAGCGCCAACGCATTAGTAAACATTATCACTTCCTAAGAGTCTAGTCTACATTTGCCTTTTTTCAACAGTAACTACTTTCACATTACAATTCGAAATCTTCAAAACCTGACAGAATTATCTACTTTTCTGACAAAATTCCAAATGATTCTTAGTTTTTTTTTATTTTTTCTATTTTTGATTACAGCTTGATTCCACACTGTATTTTTGGTAGAAGTATGGAATTTTCAGCGTGGATATCGGTAGCCCGAATTTCGCAGGCCTACCATAGATATCAGGTGTGACGCACACCTGATATCTATCAACAAGGGATCGAACCTAGGACCGTGTGCATGGTCGGCGAGAGTCCTAACCACTGTGCCACCGACGCACTGGAAAATATTTAAATCTGAATACTTTTCTACCTCATACATTTTCAGTAGAAATTTGCCGTTTATTTCTTTATCTACGTCTTTTCTTTGAAGTTTTGTGATTTGTTACCGATTTAGCAAAGGATAATACAGAAGAGACTATAAAAGTAGTTAGTTAGGAATCAATGTTTTTAACTTACCAGGCCACAAACCAAAATAAAGAAATACGAATGGACTCATACTATCCAGTAAGTCGCCCGGGCTGAAACAGGTGAATAAGAATCTAAATCTATGACCCACAGGTTGAAAGTGAAGTAGGTGTTGGGCCCGAATCTCAATAGGAACGCCATCACTCAGTGAGATAGAGTTAAATCCAGCTTGAGTCCCAAGAGGGATGAAACGCATGTATCCTAGATCCTGCTGATAACCACGATACCGACCAAATGACAGAAACATCACTTTGACAACTACTTCAGGATATCAGAATTGTGGTTACAGAGTCGTAGAAGGATAAAAGTTACAAACAGTACATCTGATAACTAAATAATATCCAAAAACCGTTACCTGAGTAATTTAGTCACGCACACACATTAGTATATTTGTTATTGTTTACGTTTAACAGTCTCTTTAGATTCATGTTAAACATCAATAACTTTAGATATAACTCACTGGATTCCTCTGAGGAATATCATGTTTACCGTGATACTACGGAACAGTTTGAAGAGACAGGATAAATCAATTTCGATACACGCACACTATAGAGCTGTAGCTCATTGACGTAGACGCTCGACTTCCAATCACTGAGTCACAGGTTTCAAACCAGCTCCATCTAGTGACGTTTGGGCAGTTAGGTAGTAGCACTAGTCCTCATACAATAGGTGTGGCTCAGTGGCAACTGCATGCAAATGCAAGTGGCTATTGAATAACACTTCATTTTCAAAACACTAGATACATTCATTATATCATTTATAAGCACCTTTAATATCTTTAGGCAACAAACTCACTAGCCAAAACTCTCTTTTTTTCATTAAACAATATTCCTACCGAAAAAATATCAGATGCACACACACTTACGTGGGTAGGTCATTGTGAGGCAGAGATGAACAATTATTTGATTGAAAAACAATAGGATTTGATATACTGTTAATACGAATATCCCAAAGACAGATTTTACGCTTATAATCCAGTGGATTTAAAGTAGCCAAAAGGAAATTTTCAGAATTATTTTGAATACTATTAGTATTTGACAGCATCGATATATCAGGTGATAGAGCAGAACCATTCACAGGCCAAGTAGTAGAATTTATAAACCATGATTTTACAGGCATTAGAAACTGGTAATCCCATAACTGATAAGAAAAACCAGCAAATCGTCAGTTATGCAGGCATGGATATAACAGACTATGTGATGCCCGTTAACTAGGAAGTTAAAAGAAAACCAATTTGGAAAGTACTTACCTTGGTGTAAGTTCCTCTTGAAGTAGGTGTAAGATATGCAAGTCTTTAAATTTATAAGTACATGCTTGTAAACCAACTTTCTCTTAAGATAGTGGTGCGTCGATAGTTTAGTGACAGAATGTTCGTCACCAACACACCAAAAGTGGTCGGGAAGTTAATTCACAGTCGATGGACATACTCCCATACCTAGCTTAACCAACAGCAAGATTGGAAATAAGGAATGGTTGGGAGTGATATTAGCAACTCCATACCATAAAAATACACCACCGCTAGTAAGAGTTCAAAGCTCAAGCTTGAAGCCTTATGCTCTACTCGGATCGCGTAGGAATGCAGATAGCAGGTAATGACTTCAGTGAAACTTATAGAATGAAGATTTACTGTCTGTTTTATCCTTGGAGAAAAGACCTATCAGATGGTATACAATGATTCTGAGATTAAGACTTAGTAATTAATAATTAGTACAAAAAAGACTGTTAATAGCAAAACAGTTCTAATAGCATAAATTGTTAACTAAATTCACATTGACATAAGCATGAAAAACCACGAATTCTGAGTTTTCAAAGATGCTACAATAATCAATGAAGCGACAACCTATACTGCATTACTTTGATTACAGTGACATAAAACCTTCCACCATAAATACGTAACGCTTCAGCGACTTTCAATCACCAAAAATAGATCACAAATACAGCAAAAATAGAAGCAAACCCGATAAGTACAATAAATTTTCATTCCCTTGGGTTCCAAGGGAATTATAGGGCCTCAACACACCTCTACTTTGTTCTGTTATCTACTGTTCTCTTCAGCTGGGTCCACGATTGCTCAAAATCTCTCATCTCCTCCTCGCACGATCTTATCCAAGTCACCCTCGGATGACCCACTCGTCGCTTCCTATTGGGATTCCACTCGAAGGCCCGGCGTGCGATGTCATTCGGCGGCCTCCTCAATGTATACCCGATCAATCTCCATTTTCTCCGACATATTTGTTGAGCGATCGGCTCTTCGTTGGTTTTTCCCCATAGTTTCTTGTTGCTTATTCTTTCTGGCTGGCCATTTGATCTTCAGTATGGAGCCAGCGAAGGCAGCTGTTGATAAAAGTCTGCGGCCTGTCGGAAATTTTTTTTTGTGACACGCCAAGTTTTTGACCCGTATAGAAGAACTGACCCCACATTTGTGTTGAAAATTCGAATCTTGTTCTTGATGCTGGCTGAGTGCAGAAGATTTCCAAACTGGTTTCAGGTTGATGAAGGCGTATCTTGCCTTTCCGATTCTGACTTTGACATCTTCGTCTGTTCCGCCTGTGGTTGAAACGATGCTTCCCAGATAAGTGAAGAAGGCAACCTCTGTTAAATCTCTCCCGTTGATGGTGACTGGTTGTTGTTGTCGATTGGTTATCTTCATCACCTCCGTCTTCTCCATGTTCACTTGGAGTCCTGTCTTCGCTGCTCGCCTCTTCAGCCAGTTTGTTGGTTTTCGCTTGCAAGTCTTCGAGTTTGTGTGACATATGGCATATATCATCTGCGAAATTCAGATCTTCTAGAGTCTTCTTATCGGTCGTCCAGCGTATTCCTGACTCCTCGCTCCTAACAGTCTGACGCATAATTCAGTCCACCACAACTAAGAATAGCATAGATGATAATAGACAGGCAGCCTTGTTTTACTCCTGTATTCACTTCGAACGCCTTGCTGAGTTTTCCGTTGTGGATCACCTGACACATGGCATTGTCACATAGCCAACTGTTGAATGAGGTTGACGAAGATTTGGGGCACTCCATATTGTTCAGGTAGTTTCTAAATTACTTCTCGGTCAACGCTGTCGAAGGCCTCTGGGAAGTTGATGAAGTTGAGGTAGAGGTTTGACTGCCATTCTACGCTTTGTTCGATGATGATGCGTAGAGTTGCAATTTGAGCAGCACATGATTTGCCTTTCCTGAATCCAGCCAGTTCCGGCGGGTGGAGTCCTGCATTCAGTGCGTCAGTTATTCTCTCTAGGATTTTACTTGGCGTAGACAAGAGCACTACTCCAGGCCATTTCTTACAGAGTGAGACATAAGTCACCCTTCTTTGGTAGCTTGAAAAGGTAGCCTTTCTTCCAATCGGCAGACACTTTTCCTTCCTTCCAAATTGTTATAACTGTGGGGAATTGAATGAAGACGTTTTCACCTTGCTCTGTCTGCGCCTGAACTAATCTGCCTATCTGCTTGTCGTACCTTCCGATTTAGTAAGGCACGCAAATATCAAAAGACAAAGGCTGGACTGTGACTGTGTATTGAAGTGCAACAACGACAAAGAAAGCCATGGTATTTATACATTTTACAACAATATGGACAGCTAACAGCATTTGAAATAATTTATCTTAATAGCCAATAACAAAGTGCGTGGGAGATGATAATATACCATATGTGCGAGATTGACAGTCAATAACAAAATGTGTGGGTATGATAATATACCATATATACAAGATTAGCAGTCAATACCAAAATGTGTGAGAATGATAATATACCATATATACAAGATTAACAGTAAATACCAAAATGTGTGAGAATGATAACATACCATATATGCAAGATTAAACAGTCAATACCAAAATATGCTGGATCCTATCACAAACCTTTTGCAATAATGGTGTGAGAACATCTACTGCAGTTTCTGGGTCCGTTTTCCGTGCTTCAGAAGGAATGCCGTCCTGCCAAGATGCCTTCCCTACTGGACTTCAGTAGCTTGATCGCATTCAAGATTTATGCTTTAGTTGGAGGATTAGTGTCCACTGGCAGGCAGCTCTGTGAGTGCTGTTGGTGATGGTGTACTTCTGGGCGAGTTGGCAGTGGTGGTAGATTCAAGAGTCCTTTGAAGTGATCAGACAATTATTTTATTTGTTTCTCCTTATTGGCAATTAGGTTCCCTTGAACATTTCTTATAGTTTTCATTATCTGGGTTGATCTCTTCCCGGAAGGCTAGCAGTCTGGTTATCTGATGTAATGTCCTGAGGTCTCTTTTATCTGCGACTCGCCTATTTCGCTTCAGTTGTCAGTGTGTCGTAGGACTGTCTTTTGTCTTTTCTAGCACTATTCGCTTCTTTATTCAGTGCAGTGTACATTGAATTTAGCTTCTTCTGTTTTCCATCTTTGCATTGAGTCATCTTCTCTTTCGCCATCATCCTCTTCTCGATTAAGCTTCCAGGTATCCGTTGACAGCCATTCCTTGTCTTGTCTCTTCCTTCTTCCTAGGACAATTGTACACATTTCCTTAAATATCGCTTTCAGAGAGTTCCAATGTTCTTCCACGCAGGATTCCTCAGTGATGCCACCTAGTGTGTCCGACTTTGCTCTGATACCTGTAGCCAAGGCATCTCCTGTAGTTTTGTCCTTCAGTTTCTGAATGTTGAACTTGAATTGTGGTTTGTCTTCATTTGTTTTCATGGATTTCAGCTTCCCCTTGAAGGCTGCTTGCACTAGATGATGGTCTGAGCCCGCCCACATCTGCTCCCATTCTCCACTTAGTGTCGGGCAGGCTGTCTCCAATTCCTCGAAATTGAGGTGAAGTTTCTGAATAACTAATAAAGATCACCGACTAGAAATGCATTTCACACTTGTTGTTGTAAGTAGTTGCAACACAGTAGACTATTTCACACTTGGCTATAGAGCATTTGTGAATTCAAATTACCACACTACATTTAGACTGCAAACGTAGAGAAAAAATCCAAAGGTATTTTATGGACGGAAATGTACAGTAGAAAGAATAGGAACAAGGGAAAAATATGAGGGCCTAATGTATGTAGGACATTAAAATGAGTGAATGCATCTGTGCCATTGACGACGATTTTGATGCGTATCACCAATAGTTTCTAAGCATTGGTTCTTAGCGTCCTAGGGCAGCCTGCACCTCTCTATGTGGCTGACCCAAACCAGCTGTCAGAGACTTCATGAACTGACGCCAAATTCTGGTGCTTAAAGACATATCTTAACTTGATATTTAATAAACAAAAAAATCTCTATCAGATAATTAGAATTGACTTAGCATAATTCTTTATGAAATATAGCATGAAGATTAAACAGCCTACAGACTAAATATAATATACCATTTGTATACAAAGCAATTACCAGCATATTACTAGTATCTTTTCGTTATTTGTCTACTTTGCTTGTGTACAGAAACAGCCGACACATACCCTTACGCAGGCACACACGTACACATATTTACATGCACAGTTGTACAAAATATGTCCGCACAACTAGAGAAATCGAACAATACAAGATTGTAAAAGTAAAATGAAATATGCGTAAAGAAATATGAAAATAGCATAATTAATAATAATAATAATATAACAAATGTATCAACGCATAGAAGACAACATTTAAAGATTCATCAAAGCGTACGAAACCTTGAGACAAAACATCCTTTTTTTCTTTATTTACTCTTTAAGTGAACCAAGTATTATTAGTTTAAAGGAGTAATTGTTAGTAAGAAGAGAAAAAGGTTTTCTGGTATTCTCTAGACAAGATACCAAGTTTTTATTGTGAAGACAAAGACTTTAAGTTACCGAAATCACACTTTCAGGTTTAATAAAAGCGTAAATGTAGTGACATGAACTGGGTGTGAGCACAGCTGCTACTGACCGATGACCCTCCAAAATCCACCTGGTAAAGCCAAAGGTGGGTAGACTTCAGTCTACCTCCAGAAGTGCTTTCATGTGGCCATGCTTAATAGCCACTGGCAGATAAGTCCTAACCACTGCCTTCTCGTGGCAAGGGCTGCTTCTCACAAAAATGTGAACGTCTGGCGCTTATGACCAGACCGGTGGTGGGCATGCTTGTCCATCAAAGAAGGTTGGAAAACTCAGACTCCAAACATATGATGTACATGAGCTCCAGAATCCAAATGGATTGAATGGTGCATGAAGCTACCCTTGACGCTACTTCAATGCCTTGTGAACCAGAGTTCGAAATAAATGCTCTAGGGGTGGACCCCAAGACAATCACCTGTTTTGACCTAAGCATACAAGAAGTACTCCCGCCTTCATATAAGCTATGAGATTTAGTGTGGCACATTGCTTGGTGCCATAATGTACCAAGTTTGTATATTGATAACAATAATAATATAGTCACCAACAGAATTAAATACCAGTGGCACCATATTCACGTTCGCAATCATAAGCTACTGGATTCCGACCGGTATATGAAGCTCGTTTTGTAACCTACAGGGTGTTGACCACAGTACCTCATGAAGTAGGAGACGCAAGCATCCGAGGAAAACTTGAATAGGACGTAACAGTTACTAAATGTTTCTTAACTTTAAATGGTTGTAGCTAACTTCTACAACCGATTCGTGAAGAAAAACCTAAAGCCTGGAAAATGCAAAGATTGTTGCGTATTAATTTCGCTTACTGATTTCTAGATTGACAAATACCCTTCTAATCTCCTATCCCAAATAAGTTGTTCGGAAAACAGATGTCTTCAGTTTTTTTTAAATTTTATTTTAAAGGACCTTATAGGAGTGATTCACTATCTCTGTGATCAGACACTAATAAATGCCTTGCAATTGATGATGCTGGATACCTATTCAGACTTAGTACATATGGGTTTTCTACGAAACTTAATGTCACAGTAGAGACTATCCCATGAAAAGACAGCTTCCATACCAAACAAAGTTGTCTTTATTAAACCACCATACAAGGATGATCAAATCATGCAACTGATAGCTTAGAAACCTCAGTTAGCTATCAAGCACACATTCTACGCCGCATCCCTTTTTCTTACATTTCGAACATTTTTAATTCCTATGACTACGACTAATGACGAAATTCTGTGGACTCTACTTTACACAAGTTTACTACAAGTTCACTTACACTTGCGGTGAGATATAGGTAGAACCAGTAGAATTTTCCAACATTGTCGCAAAGAACATGTTCCTAAGTTACACAGAAAATCTAAATGTACCTAATGCGAATAGAAATCCAACATCGTCCATTGCAAAGCATTTATTAATGTTTGGTCACAAAATCGACACTAATGACTGCTTCTCAGTTACCTCACATAATTTTAATTAAAGGTTATGGAAGCACTTTGGATTAATCAGATGCATACCAAACTACCATAGACTGATTGACCTTACATATTTTGATTGGTTATTAGTATGGCCTTTTGTTTTCAAATATTTTCTTTGATTATTGTAAACAAAGCTAGTTGTGAAGCGATTGTAGAGTTTTTACTGATACATATGAAAGTCAAAAACAACATCCCACCATTTTTCCAATGAACTACACCTACAACGAATTGAATAATTTAAATTCAATAAAATGACCAATAGCACTTTAAGAAGAAAATAAACCAATAACAACAGTCGCAATGTAAAAAAAATGATCGAGTAACTAAGGTTATAACGCTCTTTGAAATAATAGAGAAGATTTGTAGCTCAGGTGGATGATGTTGACTGAGTTATATTCTCTGAGCTGGTTGATTTAGTCGCGAAGCTTTCGTCGTCTTTCTAGTCAACATCTTCAGTGCAGATTTTATTGTGGGATGAACTCGTTTGAAATCTCTATGGATGATATAATTGTGTCTCGTGGCAACCATCGTTGTGACTGGTTGCTGATTTACGTCTCCATTGATCACTTTTATTGACTTGGAATTTGAACTTTCCTATCATTTGATTTACTTTTTGTTACCTTCGAATCCGAATCCGAGAACACAAATTGACTGTGAAAAGACATGAAATATATTCTTTCACTTTAATGCATGTAGATAATTATGGACACCATTTTGATTGGGATAATATATAAACTGTAAATAGACGAAACACCAAAAATACCAGAAAATTTCTAGAAGCCTAGTACTCAAATGAATTAGCAATTAACCAACACATTACTATACACCAAATTTACTAACTAATAAAAAGTAAATTACATGACAGGAAAGTTCAAATTCTAAGTCAATAAAAATGATCACTGGAGACGTAAATCAGCAACCAGTCACAACGATGGTTGCCACGAGACACAATTATATCATCCATAGAGAATTCAAACGAGTTCATCCCACAATAAAATCTGCACTGAAGATGTTGACTAGAAAGACGACGAAAGCTTCGCAATTAAACCAACCAGCTCACAGAACATAACTCATTTAAACATATAACACTCTATCACTAGTGTTAAATGGTTGGGGGCAATCGGTAGAAAGCTCACGACCTAGGTTTCGCGTTTGTAGGCAGTCGTCTGTTAGCAGGGTGTCTGTAACGTTGAAGGAAGTCTCATATTACCCCTGATATTCAAGCTCCAGTCTCCAAGTGTTGCATTCAGAGCTTTTCAAACCAACGACAAACCTTCTGTAAGACTGTAATGGATACACTGACTGGTCATTAGGGAGTAACCAATGTCCTGTGTGTAGTCCTTCATGTTGTAGTTGCGTTTGAAGTGACAGATGTTAGGGGGTTTAAGTTGAAAATGAAAACACTATTCACCAGTATGTATTGAGACATTTCGAGCTATCCTTGAAATGAAACAGCTACACTGGTTACTAGCCAATGAACAAATGTGTGAAAACGTGATCACAGTGAGACACTTTTGAGCTCACTTATTCCAAATACGCAAAGAGAATTTAGATGTGTATTTGATTCTACTCTAAAAAATAAACTATGTACATCTATCCAAACAAGGTGAATTAAGCAATTAATCATATTCAGATTATGGGTTTGTAGAGACTTCAACATTGGTTGTAAAGCTGATGCTTATTGATGGCATTAGTTGGCTATGTCACTAATATCGCTAACTGGTAGGAGTTAGAATCTATAGATCCTTGAATTTCAACCGAATGTTCAAATGTCTCAACCGACTTGTCTCGTGACCTGGGAGTTATACGTTCGACTCCTGCTTGGGTTTCTAGTGCACATACATCGGTTGAAGAAGAAAAACTTGGTAAAGGAATGTTTATTTGGAATTTTGTATCTCTGAACCTTATCTTCAATGCACCATTTGCACAGATCTGTGTTGAGCTACTTCTGTCCTCCATAATGTGTTTCCCTGTATTCCTCCCACGTTTCCCAAGTATCCCCGCAACGCTGTATCATTTGCTTTCTCTGACATCAAATTTATCACCCTGCTATTTGATTTTTTTATGCCGATAACCATCTCTTTATATATATAGATATACTACTGAGGAATCTTATCAATAGTACACGCCACACACACTGCTGAAAAGTCTCATGCAAGGAAGAAGAGACATTTGTTCAATCCTCCTTGGTTTTCAACGTAGAATCTTGAAGAAATCTACATTGCAATTAATCATACGACTGTTTTTTTCACTTAACAGTCGCAAGTGAATGTAAAACGAACCCCCTGATAATGATAAAAAAGAATTGCGTTACTTATACAAAAAAGTGAAATCGCCTTAATTTAATACATAAGTAAATAAATATAACTTTGGAAAACTCGCCTTTACACATCCACTTATATCTAAAGTTACGATATGTGAATTAGATGAATCGGAAATCTGAGAGGTGATCACTTTCTCCAAGGGCCAATCATGATATGTTGCTGAATTGACTGTAACTGGCTATTTCGAATCATTTTTGTTGGTATTAGGAGAACAAAGAGAAAAATAGAAAAAATATTTACATTTCATGCAAATAGCTTTTGCCACTCCACTAAAATAAACCATACATTGTTCCAGTTAGTTATATTTTACATATCTGAAAATCGTCATTCCTCTTGGTTCCAAATGGAACATAGGGACTAAACACTAATTTCTTTATAGCATATATCACACAATGAAACAGTATTATTTACTGAATGATGCTTCAAACACAACTTCTTCTTCATAATCCTGTTAACTATAACTACACAACTTCGAAACCTTCGTTTCATAGTTTTAAAGAATATTAAAAGACAATTCAGCCAACCAAATTTTCTTGATCAACGAAATCATCTTCAGAGGCTGTAGAGTGGTACTTTTATATTCACCAAAAATTGTATAGTAGTCTATTATTGAGTAATAGAGGGTGACATAATTGATATAACTACTAAGATGTGGCTTTAGAAGTAAAAATCAAAGTTGTAAATTGCGTAGTATTTAACGGTACAAAGGAAGAAAGGGTTAGAAATTTGATAACGTCAGAATTGTTATTGAATGAGAAGAAAGGTGATAGTTGAGTGTCAATTTAACAAGTGTGAAAAGGGTGTGAAAATGTACAAAAGGAACATATGAGAGTGATAATAGTGAATTAATTGTTAAAGTAAACTAACTAAGCAAACTAAAAGTAAAATTGGAAAAATAACATTTTTACAGGGAGCAACTGGTGAAGAGGTTAAGACCATGAGAGAATAAGAAACTGGACAAACATTTTTCCGTACACAGAGTTCGGGGTTTCATTGACGAATTAATACATACAATTAAGAGGTAGAAATGGTTACAATATGTGGATTGCATAATACATAATTTTGGAAAAATGAAGAGTAATTAAGGAATAAGCGTGTACATAGGCTGATTACGTAACAGATTGCTAAGGAAAATAAAACGATTTGGACAATGATAACTTGTAACTAAGGATGAAGTGGTCATAGGAATAAAATAATTTAGCAATTATAATTTTTAAAGGTTTAGGGGGAGAGGGCCGAAGTAGTCCGTCCGGTCTATACATTCATGTAACGATGGCTAAGGTAAGGAAAGTAGCTGTACAAATTTCTTCTGAACACACAGGTATGGTTTCTTCAGGTGGATTCCTATTGCTTCAGCTGTATGTAGAAGACGAACTCGTAAAGCAAAATTAGGGTTAGGAGGAATGTGATAAGTAATTTTAAATGCAGTATCAACATCAACCTTATGCACCCTATCTACAAGGTGTGCTAAAACAGAGCTACGAATAGATCTTGTTTGTCCCTCGCTTAGCCATGCTGGATGATTTTTGGTAATACGATGATGAACCTGTCTGATTGTACGCCTGATGTAGCTGGCTCCCCAGCTGCAGTGAAACTGGTAGATACACACAGAGGAGGCAAATTTAGGTAGTTTATCCTTGCTCTTGCTGGAAAATTTCTAATAAAATTCGAATAAGTACTATCCTGTCATCTGACCTAGCCGAATACTAGCGTTTTTCTAGGTGTAAACACTGTTTCAAAATCAAATTAGAGAAGGAGAATGTCTGATGAGTTCGTCAAAACTTTACTGTATCGACCATCTCCAATAATTAGCTGTGATTTCTGACGTGGTCCTGTCTCTCACCTCATTGTCACGCTCAGTCTATCTGACGTTTCCTGTCTGTCTGTCTGGATTTAACATAGAACTTGGCACCGAAGTGCAGCAGTTCGAGTTGCCACGTTTCAAATAGCACACACAGGTAGACAAGAAGATGAGTGAAGAGAATCAATACAGTCTGACAAGTATAAGAGTGAAACAGAATGGGTAATGGTAGAAAGGAATATGAAAGATTACAGAGACTGAATACATCTCCGCTGGCCATTGACAACGATTTTGAGCCATGTCACCTATTGTCTCCAGCCATTGATTCCTAGAGTCCCGAGGACCCCAACCCGGAAGTCTTCATCTCCCTACCTGACTCAGTTTAACTGTCAAGGATTTCATGGATTGATGCCATGTTTTTGTTTGGCCACCACTGGCTCTTTTCCAACCTGCACCTATATCAGCTAGTAATGCCCGTCGGGGGAGGCGATGGTTAGGCATGCGCAGCACGTGACCTAGTCATCTCAGTCTATGTAACTTCATAGCCTCGTCGATTGATTTTCCCTCTTTGCCCAACACTCTACGCCTAACCTCAACATTACTTAGCTTATTAAACCACCTAACGTGAGACAGAGATCGCAGACATCTATGATCGAAAGCAGTCAACCTTTTCATGTCTTCAACTCGTATTGGCCATGTTTCAGAGCCATAGAGAAGGACGGAGCGAACTGCTGAGCAGTACACACGTCCCTTGGTTGATAACCGGATGTCACGCCTACGCCAGAGATAGTGTAAGTCAGCGAAAGCAGCTCGAGCTTTTTGGATCCGTGTTGAGATTTCATCGCCAATCAGTCCGTTGGTGCTAATACAACTTCCCAAATAGGTGAAGTGGTCAACATGTTCTATCACTTCACTCCCTATCACTAAGCTAGGTAGGAGTTGACGTAGTCCAGTCCTGTGGCAGCATCTTACATTTTGCAGGGGCGAATCGCATGCCAAACATACGAAGATTGCTGCTCAAGGTGTTCAGAAGACTCTGCTGGATTTTGTCAGCGTTTTCACCTAGAAGGACTATATCATCTGCATATTCTAAGTCCATAAGACCATTCCCTGGTAACAAGTCGATTCCCAAGTCATTACATTCAATTAAGGATACTTCCATCAGCATATCTATGATGAAGTTAAACAGAAATGGGGAAAGTGGACATCCCTGTCGGACACCACTGGTTGTTATCAATTCAGATGACAGTTCCCCATAAGCCCTTACACGACTACGTGAGTTTGAATAGAGTGCCTTGATTAGTGCAATGTACTTTCTTGGCACTCCCTTCACAGTCAGACATTGCCATAGTACCTTTCGATCCACGGAGTCGAAGGCCGCCTTCAAGTCAAGAAATATGACAATTGTTGGACGCCGAAAAGTGTGTCTATGTTCTAGAATCTGACGAAGAGTAAAGATATGATCTATGCACCCTCTACCAAGTCTAAAGCCTGCTTGATTTTCCCTCGTCTGTTCCTCCCGAGTTCTGCTTAGTCTGTGCATGATTACTGAGCCTAGGATTTTAGAAACTATGTTCGTTAGGCTGATCCCCCTATGATTATCACACGAGGACTTGTTTCCCTTCTTGAATATCGGTATAATAAGTGACTTACCCCAGTCTGATGGCACTGTCTCTGATTCCCAGACGTTGCCTAGTACCTCAGTTAATCTACAAACTAGTATGTCACCCCCATATTTAAACACCTCCGGAATAATTCCGTCGGGTCCTGCGGCTTTGCCTCGTTTCAAATTACTGATAGCTTTTGTGACCTCACTTACAGACGGCGGACCAGTGTCTATATCCCATTCGGGTGTGTGCTGGATGGCGGGGAGGTTCAGTGTGGCTGTAGGCAAGTTAAATTGGCCCTCAAAGTGTTCTTCCCAACGTTCAAGGCGTCTATCCTGAGAGCTAATTAAGGAGCCATTTTTCTCAGAAATAGTCTCACTTATGATTTGCGTTCTCCCACCCGTTTTCCTGATGAGTCTAAAGAGTTGCCTAGTGTTGCCTATCGCCGATGCTTTTTCCATCTCTTTTGCCTTTGTCACCCACCACTGTTCACGGTCCTTACGGAGACTTTTAGTAAGTTTCCTTTTGTGCAGCTTTCGCTCCCAATTGAACTCGGAGCTCGCCGGAATAAGTCTTCTAGCATTTATCAGTTCGGATGAGGCAGTCGAAATCCAATGGTTTTTACTCACCTTTGGATTTGCCTTATTCACAGTTTTTACAGCTGTATCTATAGCTGACTGAGTATTCTTCCGGGCTTCTTCAGGGTGAGCACAGCTGTCGAACTCAGATATGCGTTTAGCTAGTTCTTCCTCAAATACGGACTTAGTTTCCTGATCGAGCTGGCGACGTGATGGGTTTACCGCCAGCTGTTTCCTACGTCCGTTCAGTCGTAAGAACACACGAGCCCGGACCAGCGCGTGATCGGTGTCTACACACGTGTTCCAGAAGGAGCGACAATCCCTTACCGACCCACGCCAACGATAGCTTGTTGCTATGTGGTCTATTTGTGTCCAGCGTTGCTTTGATGATGGGGGTCGCCAGGTCAAACAGTGTCTCTTCTTGTGTTTGAAGTTAGTGCTTACGAGAAACAAATGATTATCAGAGCATAACTGTCTGTCTGTCTGTCTGTTTTCGACATAGAACTTTGCACAAATGTGCGGAAGTTCAAGTCGCCACATTCCGTGTAGCACGCGAAGCAAGAGAAGAAAGTACAAGAAAAGCAAATAGAAACAGTGAGCAGAGGTGTGAGACAAAGGAGTAATAAAGAAATACAAAACAGTTTCATTGGAGATCATAAGTCACAGGGAGTGGATGCATCTGCGCCACTGAGAACGATTTTGAGCCATGTCACCAATTGTTTCCAACCATAGATTTTTGCCGTCCCGAGGACCCCAGCCTGGAAGTCTACACCTTCCTACGTGGCTAAGACCAACTGTTGTGGATTTCATTGACTGATGCCAAGTTTTTGTTTGACCGCCGCTAGCTTTTTTCCAGCCTGACCCTATATCCGCTAACATTGCTCGTCGAGGGAGGCGATGGCTTGGCATACGTAACACATGTCCTAACCATCTCAGTCGATGTAGCTTCACGACTTCGTCGATTGATTTCCCCTGTTTACCTAGGACTCTACGCCTAACCTCCATGTTGCTCACCTTATTATGCCACTTTACACGGGATATAGAACGCAGGCACCTATGATCAAAGACAGCTAGTCTTTTCATGTCTTCCACTCTGAGTGGCCAGGTCTCACAACCATAAAGGAGGACGGAGCGGACTGATGAGCAGTACACCCGCCCTTTGGTCGATAGTCGAACATCTCGTCTACGCCAG